CTCGTCTCCTTCTTCATAAAAAAATCCTAATGACTCTACAGTGACGCCCGAACTAAAAGGTGATAATGATAATTCGTCACCACTAGGATTTTGGCGATTGGGTCCCCTAATCCACAGTAGCCCTTTAAAAGAGGAGCATATAAGGTATTTTCTCCATCCTTCCAGCATGTGTTCGTGGTGTAACGGTAGCACACTCGGCGCGTATTTGAGAGGCCCTTACACATTCTTCATGTTTCCAGCATAAAAAGAGTCCTAATGACTCTACAGAGTTTTCTTAAATTTGATATACATTTGTGCTGACACACACATATGTTGCCCTGTGATATATATCATAAGAAAATACAAGGTGTCGGGGCACCAGAACTCCACCACTTGTCGTACAGGTATAATCCCACCGCATTAACTGTGCAACTGCGCCCCAGTTTTGATAGAGAATATGCCGCTGGAGAGATCCACGGGTCTCCCACTCCTCTTCTCCTACCGCGAAACCAAGTCACTCGACAGGACTTCGAATTTTCAGCATTTTCAGTCTTGTCCATGCCTCACTGACGTACACTTACAAAACTCCATGCCTTCTCCCGGATTCGAACCCTGAGCTCAGCGATCCGGCAGCCAGCTTCGCTAACTAACCACTGTACCAGTGGTTCTCAACCTTTTTTGCTCCATGGACTCTTTTTACCATTCTTGGACGATCATTTACCCGCTGTTTTCCGAAAGTCGAAAAATACAAATACATTTCTTTAAATTTAGATTACTTTTAATGTGTTATGTTGTTGATAATGTTAAAAATGTTGATAAATACCAAAACTTGAATAAAAGTAGTTTTTTATATTCATAAACAAAAGCTCAGTACTTAAAAGGTGAATAAAAGACTAACCGCATGAAACTAACTATGAAATCTGTACTGGTTGAAAACCTCTACACTGTACCGATCAGGGCGGCTGTATTTATGAGCTTGGTGTTGGTGTATTTAATTATGGCAAAGCACACGAGGGCTATCTGCCCAAAGGGAGGGATGCCTTTCGTGGAGGACTTTCTAAGGGAAACTGGCTCGTATACACGTTACACATGGGGAAAACCACGAAAACGCCCATGCAGCCAGCCCGTTCGCGGGATTCGAACCTCAGACCGAACTACCAGTGTTCAGCGTCTTTAGCGCTCGGCCGCTGGTGGGCATTTATGAGCTTGAAATAGAGCCGTATGCATAATTTCAGTGAATTAACTATGTTTGAACTTTAGGCAAAAAATTTCCTATATCATACCAACACGGCATACGGTTTCAAAGTGTAGTGTTTTAAACATTTTCTTAGTTTTTCATGAAAATATTAGGATTTCGTCTGTCCCTTCATATTTTTTGCATTATGATATATGTTAAGAATATTGGGAAAGATGCATATACGATGTGTAGCAATGTGAAAGCATACACTATATATATATATATGTAATAAAACTGCTGCATTATATGATACTTGCGTTATTTTTAAAATAAGACTGCATTATTAGATGAACTAAGATAACTTGGTGAGAGTAAAATTGCAACGGATTGGCATTGGAGAGGACTGCGACTTAACTTGAAGACTTTGTTGCGTAGTTAGAACGATGGATGATGCATGAACCAAAAAACTTGCAGTCATGGCCTAAATTCTACAAATGATTTTATTTCTTCGATAATGCGCATTATCACTGTGGGTGCGCTATGCACCCCACACTTATCTACAGGTCACATTTTTAAACCATAGACGAATTTAGAAAAGTAAACTTTGCGTAGCTAGCGACACAGCGGAAAGCAGCAGAAAAGACGAACGAAGAGAAGAAGAGGGAATTGTGACGTAATTACCCTTTTTATACCGAATTCAATTTCATATCACGTGACACTTTAGTGTACAGGATTTTGGGTTCAGATTTCATCAGCAACTGCGCATCAGAACTACAGGGAGTAAAATTTATTGCTGTAATTTTTAGAAGGAAATGGAAGTTAAAGGACTATTAATTTATTATTGGAAAGCTAGATTTTTATATTTTATATATTTGATATTTTTTCCTTGATAAGTTCTGTTTGAAGCCTTGAACAGAGAAGATTGATTATGTTTTTATGTGTAAAATTTCTCAGTATTGTGTAAATGGTAAAGATTTTTTCGCGTATCAATTTTGATTTTGTTGTATAGGTTTTCTAATTTTTTGTATAAGTAGGTTTTTTTCGCGTACAATTTATTGCTTTAACTTAGATTTTTTGTTTTAACTTTGTTTTACATGTAATATCAGGAATTAGGTAGTTCAAATGTTCTTTACGGCTTTAGCTAATTTTTACCTCTCCTTTTCGTACCAATCTATATTTTACACACACACACACACACACACACACACCACACACACACACACATATATATATATATATGGTTTCTACTGAGCTTCGCAATATTTCATTTTTGCTGCAGTTTTTTAATAGGAAATTCATGTATAGCGATACAGATTGTACATAAAAATATATTATCTAGTCTCTTTAAGTAAATAATCAAGATTGATTACCTGTGTATTATTACTGAAATATAGGAGCTGAAAACATAGTAGCATAACCCTCTGTCTAAGCAGAAAAGTGAAAGCTTAGAAACATTGATCTAATATTTGTTTAAATTCCATTGAAGTATGGCATTGTACTCTACAGTATGCGGTGTATCGAAACCTTTTCATTTTAGATAATTTAATATTTCCCATAATTCACGAGATAAAACAGGAAGCACAAACAGTCCACAATTACTACAGTAATGCATATACTGTAGTAATTACCGTAATGCACAAAATAAAGCAGAATAACATATTCTAAGTTAAGAGGCAAGTAATTAACTAATTAATGTTTCGCTTCAAGTTGGTTTAAGGATGACTCATGTTTCAGATTCGAGCAGCGTTCTTATCTGTGGCTGATTTGGGGTGATATGCCTAAAGAGAAAAAAAATGTTTTTTTTACCGCCTTGTCATATTTCAGCAATCTACTTTTATTTCCACTTAGAATCCAAGAATCATCTAATATCAATATTCAAAAAACAGTATTTTTGATTGTTAATTACAAGAACGCATAGTAGATCAGAATTTTTTATAATAAAGAAAGTTGTATTATAAACGTATGAGCCTGTTTATTTATTTTTTTTTTCTGAGTGTCACGTTTGCTGAACTGTGTAGCTTATTCGATTGAATTAGTACTTGAAATTCACTGTTTGCATCTGACAGCTGAAATATTTCTGAGAATCTTTTTTTAGTTGTTCAATACAATTATGATGTATTTTTTCTTCCATAGACAAACTTTATTTTGAAGGACTTAAATAAGAAGTTTTCTTGTTATTCTGTACTGTAATAGCCTACACTGTGCTGAATATTGTTGCCATACTGTATTCTATTTTTCCAGAAGAAATCAGAGAATTTGTCATTTATGACGAACAAAGGGCTAAGTCTGAGCTCGAGATCGATGTTATTCTAAAACGTATTCGATGGGCCTGAGAAAAGTACTTTGTGAATCCACTCGAGTTTCTCTTCATCATCATATGCAACCAGTCTTATGCTTCTCCTGTTCTAAGAACAACCGCGAGATACCCTGTCATTGAGAAATAAAGAACCTAGTTTAAACTATGAACTACTAGATGTTTCTTCCATCAAATTTGGCTAGGTAACATTTTCTTGATATTCATCAGAATTCGATTACCCTAGATTCTCTGATAATGAAATGCTGTTCGTTGCTCTACGAAATGTGTGTCTTTTGCATCACAGCTCATTGGTGGCAAAGTCAGTGGCCAAGGTTTAAAATCTCTGGAATACAGGTAGCCCTCCCTTCCCTCCAGGCTTCAGTTACTAGTGGTGGGAACTGGTTGCGTTTTTGAAATGCTCGTCATGAGTAATGTGCATGACTATGTATGTACTACTCCGTCTAATATATTTCTTTTAATCTGTTGGAACATTCTGCATCAAGGTCTAAGGCAGATAGCAATTAAATACATAATTTAACTAACAACCTATAAATGTGCATTCTTCTATTTTCCTTTTGACCGTTGCTCTAGTTGATCATTGGCTTTTGTTCAGACGGGGGTGTTCGACTGTTAAAATTCATATTTTTAAGTGTTCCCGAATACTAGTAGGTATAACTTTCAGAATTTTAGAAATGCTCTTAGAACTTCATCGTACGTAGTACAAAATATTGGCCCCATATCACTTTTATATTCTTTATTGTCGTGTTGCAGTGCTTTGTGTTATTTTCTTATTTGTATTTTTATTTTATTCATACGTTTTCTTATTGAAGTAAGAAAATACATATTATACATTTTAGTCGACCTGCTTGTGCATACTTGAGTGTTTTTTGCTTGCGGACATATCTGCTTTATGATAGGGTCAGTTCTTAAAGACAGTTAATGAAAGCAAGAGAGAAATTTCCGAAAATTATTCGTTAAAAAGGCGACATTCTATCTTGGTACCACTATGAAAATCTTCATCGTTGCTCTTCTTTCTTCTGATAAAGACATATGAAGAACATATGATTATTTTTGTTTTTTTAATCACCTTGTGCTGCGCTTTTGATGTAAGTAACTAGATTTATGGGAGAAAGTGTCGGGATATTTTTACTCATTAAGTATCCCATTTTTTTAAAGAAATTTTGCATTTACGTTTAATGTTTTCTTACGCTTATGAATATTTTAGATAGTTGCTTTGATTGTTATTATAATAATGCAAGAAATTAGGTGTTAAATGAATGACAAATATTCATGTGGGGTTAATATTTTATAATTAAACGCGAGAATATTTCCGTATTTTCGTATAATCGTTATGATTTTTTCTTGCATAAACAAGAAACAATTTAGCCTTTATACTTTTTAAACTTCACATATTACTGTATTTTTTGCAAAATGCATGTTATTGTTGATAAGAACTTTATAAGTCTGTGAAATAATAGAGTGAAGATGTGTCTATTTTTCAGTTTTGTTATAAATGATTTACACTCTATAAGTGTTGCTTGATTTCAGATTTATCCACTTTTGCAGGCCTTTCCTGGTGTCTCCCCTTACAGCAAGAGACCGGCAATGGAAAAAAGTGGCTTGCCAGTGTATCAGCCGAGCACTGCAGCCTATCAGCAGGCTCTTGCCATGCAAGTCCAACAACCCTTTGTTCCCGTGTCTTGTAAGTTTGATTTTTCACGAACCTTAAATATTTTTGCACTGAAATAATTTATAAGTTATTTGATTCATTTTTATACCTTTTTATTTAGTGTGCTTATTAAAATACGAATGCGGTATTATGCTTCAGACGGTACAACTCAGAGCTTTTCTTAAACTGAATTTTATTCTCTACGAACAGATTTTAATTATATCTCACTTGATGATTAAGCTTTCATTAATGTCACCGAGGATTCATTTATTGATGTACTCCAAATTGAAAGCTTGCGTATGTGTATCTGTCCTGTAGTGCATCATTCTGTATTTATTTATGAATTCTTTATATGTACTTCTATAGTGAAACTTCGATAATTCTAAATTTTTGACAATTGAACCTAGCCTTAGAAATTTGAAATGGAAGTTATCTTTTCTCCATAAGACAAATTTTCGAAGAATCCGCATTCTTTTCTGGTCCCTTCAGTTTCGACTTATTGATGTTCCACTGTGTGTATGTGGTATGAATTTTGGCCCACAATAAATTTCGAGCGCCCTTCAAAATAAGTTTTCTTCTATATTTTCACATAAAACTGTGCTGTGCTTACTTACTATATGCAGGAAATGAACAGTGCAGTATTTTGTGTAAGTACTGCATGATATCTGCCACGGTGATGTGGATAAAAGCTAAAATATAAAGGAAAAATTATAGTATCACATCTGGTGCAATAAAAATAAATTTTCTTTCAAGTACTGTGAATCTCAAAAGCGATTAAAATAAAATAAGCTGTTTATTTATCGATCGTTGTAGTTACGCAAAATTCATGTTGGACATGATACATGAACTTACTATGAGCGTTCATCGTATGCAGATTGTCCGAGTTTGGGGCTAAAATTCATCTTGAGCATGAAGGGAAACCAAATGCTTCACGTGTCGAAATGCTGGAATTTTGTAAATTCGTAAATTGTTGAAACATCAAATATTAATAGCATTCTCGCAAACTTACTTTTGCTGATAAATTAACAATCACCGTATTCATTCACGTGTTCCTTCTGTTTTTTACCAATTCCATCCTGCAGGAAATCGAAAAAGGAAAATTATGCAAATAATTAAATTTCGAAAAACCCGGTTACGTAACAAAGGACATAAGAAGGAACATAACAAAGAAAAAGTGTTCATGAATATATTACCGGTAGCTACCACAATATTAATTATTTATAATTTCTATGCTATAATAAGAATACACCGTAATATTAACATTGCACTATACAATAAGATATCTTCATTTCTACAGTTTGTATCTTGAATCTCGTCCGCGTTTATTATTGCCCTTTGCTACTTCCTAGGCCTCATATCATTTAATACTGCTAGAACTGCTGTTTATATTGTCTACCACAGCTTGCAAGTCGTTATTGTCGTCACTATGGTCATCGTCTTCGTCACCATTCAGTCTGTTTCCCCACGTGCGATAATCTTTAGAATCGTCAGAAGTGTTAGATATCCCAGCTTTCTTGAAGCTCTTCGCTATTATTGTTTCATCAATCAGAGCCCACGAATCTATTTTAAAATTTAGGGAAACTTCAAGAAGGGAAAATTAACGTAAATATTTAAAGAATTTGTAGAATTTTCTTGGGGGCGGGATACGCAACGGGAGAAAATATGCCACTAAATATGGTATTTTGGTTGGTATTTAACCAACTTATATTTAAGTTTTAAATGATACCTTATATCGTTTAAAATTAATTTCATTTTCCTTCCTTTGGATAAGACGTCAAAATTTTCATTTACAATTTTCTCGAAAACTATAGGTCATAAACGTATAATTTGTTGGATACATTTTATCCACTCGTTGGTATGCAACGTTTTTTTTTGGTAATAACGGGATACGTTGCTTTTCAACTTATTCTGGATAATGATAATATTAATGTTGCAGTTAAATAAAATAAATATATTATGTGACAAATATGGAATTAAATGTTAAAATAGTTTTCGAAATATAGAATTTTGTGAACTATTTTTATAAAAGTTAACCTGATTTTAAGTTAAATTTTTAAAGGATTTAACTAAATTTAAAGGATTTTTAAAGGTATTTTTTTTTAAATTGTAAATATGCTAGACGTAAGATGCTACATTCTCTCCTGCCTAAGGACTCTTCCCCCTCCTCGGGGGAAAGGGGAGTAAAGTGGGAATTAAAGCTAAATTTAAGCAATTTCTTCAGTGAAATAATTTATCTAAGTTTTGTTGCTTTTTATTTTAAACTCTGCAAAACATGAGTTTAAATTAAAAACTTAAGCTAAACTAAAAATTTTTATTACATTCTACAGTAAAATCTAAAATCCTATAATATGCTACAGGTTTCACCCGCTTTAAGGAAAAACAGCGTTCCCGTGAAAACTTTCATATCAAATAGCGTAAAATGGAGAAGCAATAACCGTTAATTTATAAGGGAAAATATTTTTTAATCTTTTCTGGCCTTCAAAAAAAACCTAATAAATCATAGACCAGATAACATCTAAGCATAAAATTACACTATAAGCGAGACTGTGACCTACGAAATGCATAGCCGATGTAAATAGATATCACCTACCGAAATTGGGAAGCTAGTCTGCGCACTGGAATGTTTTAGATCCTTGATATGCTTTGCCAACTTAGAGATGCTTAGGCTTAGATGCTAGGCTTGACAACAGTGCGTTAAATTGCGCTGTTAAATTTTTGGGAGTAGAAGATAAGCAGCGTGGGAAAGAGAGATGTGGCAGAGAGGGGGAGAAAGAGAACACGAAGATCATCTAGTAATATCTTTATCAAATTTTATATCCTTTGGTTTATATTTTAGTTTCTATCTTTGCCTGTATCATTGTCGAAAGTTGATGCATGTCGTCTGCTGTGCTTGGTATGAAAGGCTTTAAATACAGTTGTATGCTTGCCTTTTTAGATCTTAGACACACTTTTTTTTACTATTAGTTAGGGTCAAACAAAATACCCTATTAAATGACCTTAAATCTGTGTGCTCTTTCTCATTTAAAAGTTATACATTTCTTCTGTTATTTCATAAAATAAAAATTGAAATATATTTCCTCTTTCGCGTTTTTTCATAAAAGGGAAATTCTTCATAAGGTTTCTTTCGTTTACTGAAAAAGCTTCTAATAATATAAATTATAATGTAAGCAAATTGACGTAAAGCGAACTTCCGTTAAGCGATGTATGTTCTTGATTATTTCAAATTATTATCTGGGAATTCAGGTTCACTTGAAAAGTTTTCAATAATGCATATTTTATTCTTTTCTTTAAAAAACCTGGAAAACTTTATACAGCTCTAGTTATGAATTTTTTACGTATTTTAGATACATGTCTCCCTTCAGCAGTGACTGGCCATCCAACTGCTGTACCAAGATTCTAGAGTAGGCCGTTGTTGGAGACCTCACTGTAGAGTATTACATCTCTTTCAAAGTAAATATATGTTTAAATTTTTCTTATAATGTATCATAATTTTAGTTATGTATTTAGTTCGATGTGTTTTATCTTAATCTTAAAACGATTGTCATGAATCTTCTCATTATCTTGCCCACATGCCTTGATCATGTACGTCTTTTTTTTTCGTGTAAAATTTATGTGTTCTAAACCAAGGTATTTGTCAGTGAAGATGACTAGAAATATTGATTTGATGAATTATTATGCATAAGACAAAAATGTAATATCTTCTTTCTCCTTTTCAGTAAAGTATGTTTAGTTGACAGTGACAGTTTTAATTGTAACTGACTTTAAATTCTCAGATTTCATTCAAATTAATTAATTTTGAAAATTTACTTGTACATGTGCTGCTTACCCCTTTGACGGTTTCTACAATCAATTTGAGTAGTTTAAATGATTTTTTTTTGTCGTCTTTTATGTTTAACTGGCCCTTTTATGTAACTCTGTACAACTTCATTGAACTTTCTATAAATTTTCATTTTTATATAAGAGATGTAAAAGCGTAATAAATGCATTTCAAAGAAATGTTATCTTTTACTTATTTTTTGAAATAATTCAGTGTAAAAGAAAATGTTTTCAAATAGTTATATTACAGAAGTATAAATCCAGCAGCAGAGAAATAAAGTTGTAAAAGATATTTATCTTCCTTTATATTTTGTAGCGTCATTACGTTTATCGAAGCAAGAAACATGAACAATGCGCAATGTATTCGCCGAGATTTGAACTTCGAACCTCCCGACTGCTAACCAGATGCACTTCCAGTAATACCACGAAAGCACGCAGTAAGGAGGAGGAAAATACCTTACATTCTTCCCCACTTAAAGGCCGACTGGCAAAGCAGATATTCAATTTATTAATCCTGGTGGTGACAAATTATCGTTCACCAGATTTTAGTTCAGGCGCCCCTGTTTGAAATTCTTTTGAAGCCGGGAAGCATGATCATTTAGTAATGTCCTTAGCGGGATTCGAACTCGGAACCTTCCGATGCTAGCCGCACATGATTTTAATATCATTACGAAGGCATACGGTAAGGCGAGAGAAAATACTTTACAATTTGAGTGACATGAAGAAATTCCATTTAATATACTTTCTGTTCCATTGTGCAATTTCAGTCATCATAATGTAGATATTTTTACGTCAGATGATTTATGCTGTTTTAGTTTTGCAAGGTATAAATCAAACTAAAACACTTTGTTAAATACATGTAAAGTGGAATCACTGTAGAACTTTAAAATAATTGGACCGTTATTTAATTGCAAAAAATTACATAAAAGCATTTCTCACCAGATTGCTTCCTGAGGAAATCAGTATTTGCTGTAAACTGAAAGTCCTTAGGCGCAAGAAGAACTATTTTGATTAGCCCTAGAAAGTCAGATGGCTAATTATCCATGTGCAAAATATTTCTGTTTAAAGACAGATTGTGCAGAGCCTTGAGAACATTATATTTCAGCTTTAGAAGTCATGAAACTTGAAAATACCATGTTCTATCTAGTCATCATAACATACAGAAAAAAATACATATACCGTAAAGATAAATGTGCGAAACTCCTTCAGTTAATAGAAATCGTCTAACATCATTTTGATGTGTTATGATATGATAATGTGCTCTGAAATTGTCTTGATTGAATACGATATATGTTCATTTAACGAACAATTAATGCTTACTCTAATGGACTTAAATGTTCTGGGAGAATGCTATCTAAACTAAACCTAAGTGCCATCTGGTGTAGATGTTCTTACTTTAATAGATTTTTCTGATGTGTATGTATAGCCTTTCTTTCATATAAAATGGAATCAGTCCTTTACTCTATGTTCAAAATATTATCCTGACAAAAGAAAAAGAGAAAGGATTAAAATTACTGATAATCTATATCTGTAATGAGATTCGGGTATTTTATTTTTGTATGAAGAGCAACGAATAATTAAAAATCACTTGATTAACTAAGTTCTTTGAATAGAATGGAAAGGCAGATAAATGGCTATAGCTTAAGCTGTGCATCTCTGCTTGCTCTTAGAATCGCTGTGCAGAGATTCTTTTGCGAATTTAGGTTGAAAGACATTTACATAGCTTTAGATCCTAAAGTGATTATAATAAATCATTCACCTGCTGTTTATCTCTTATGGCTTTTAAGGTAAACATTTTCTGCAGTTGACATTATAATAAAGTTTAGATGCTTGAAAGAATTACCTTAATACAAAAACTTTTCTGAACTTCCTCACATAGATAATGACATTAGACTGTAGTTCTTTGAATTTTTCAAAACTTTTTGAATAAATGAAATTTCTTGAACAAGTTAAAAAATACGGAAAAATATTGCAGTTTAGGCAAATGACATTACTGTCTCTTCTTATAGTTAAAACTTAAGATACTTTCTGTCATTTCTGATATAATGTGGTAGAGAAACGGTTGGGTAATTTAGCTTGAGTATCTTTATTCTCAGTTATCTTCAGTACTATATTTTAAGGAGAGGTTGTGGAATCATTTAGCTTAAACACCTTATTTAGTGCTGGTGGAAAGAACAAAGTTAAATCTAATAGTGCTTCGGGGCTTTGATTCTCTAATTATAAAACGGAAACTCTGTAATAGTGGGGAAACGCATTTCTCATACACGGTCTTGACACGGAATGGTTATTTTAAGAAAGAATGGTAGAAACCGTTGAAATAATCCTAGGAATGTCACCGTCATTTCTGACCAGATTTAATAAGCACAAAATAAGCGTGATGTATTATTGGCTTATTGAACATTGAAAAGATTTTATAGTAACTTTTGGGTTTCTTATTAATAAGTTTATCAGATGAATTACAAGAATGAATTCAAGTCGTAATTTTTTTTAATACTATAAATTTATGTCGAAAGTAATCTGAAGCAAAAAATATCGATTTCATGTTTTTTCAGCCTGAGCTAGATTTTGAAACAACATTTACATTTTTGTCAAAATCGGTTCGGACTCTTTTTTAAGCACCTAGGTCAAGAGAAACCTAAATTTGCCTCTTCGTCAGTTTTTCTGTAGGATTTTTTTTAATTAACTGTAGAGTTGTTCAGAAACAAACTTTAGAAGTAATTTCCATCGAAGATTAGTGTAATATACCCTAAATAATCCCAGTTAAAAAAATATCCATCAAAAGCTAGTCCAGGGAAATAAATCGCAATTATTTTTAGCTTCATTGAGATGAAAATTCTTATTTGCAAACCCGTGGTTTGATTCCCGGCGAAGGCGTTGCTGATTTTTCATCTGTCCTGCTTCCAAATAAATCCTAATGTCTCTACAGTTTAAATGGCAGATATAAACAAATTTCTACCTATATCATTCTTCCTAATAATAAATAATGGCTCCATCACTTGTAGTAGTAAACAACTAACTATATAACATTATGCTCGTAAAGTTTTATGGGCTAAATATCTTGTACCGTAAAGTTTCTGGAAAATAAATTAGGGTTCAGATGAATGTTTATGCTTTTCTTTGAATTAGAACTTATTCTTTTAACAATTTTTGTCTAATAGCTATTAGATAAAAATGCATTTTTTCCTGTTAGTGAAAGCAATTTTTTTTTCTGGTAGCATATTTGTCAAATTTCAGCTCAGATATTTTTTTTAATGTCTGCCCTTTAGTAAGAAAAGCAATAATATTTGTATTTTAATGGCTGTTTTATAAACATTTGGTAATACGTGATAGCAATTAAGAATTAAATTTAAATATTCATATTTTTCATAAATGCTGATAATTTCTTTTAAATTAGATCTTCAAAGTTTACATAAAAACTAAATTATGCACCCCCAAAAATTTGACATAGTGAGATTTCAATGTTAAATTAAAGTTAATTAGTTAGTCATTTGAATTTTGAAATATTTGGCTTTGTCGGAGTAATTAGTAATTTAAGATTTTGAAAGTACTTTGGATACTAGTAGCTCATTTATTCAATTACTATAACTGAAATATATAAGCTCTGTGATGTCAAAATAGTGCTAAGATATTTATTATATATTTAATTTCAAGAGCGAATGTATTCATATAATCTCACTTTAATGACAGATGTAAGACAACCAGTACACCTTAAAAATTAGGTAAAATTCTACTTTAACATAGACATTGATTTCTCATTACAGTACTTTACTCTTTGCAAGCGACGATCTGATGCGAGTCTTTCTTGATCATCAGGACTGTCGATGAAAGGAAACCCGTATCAGATTATTTTTACCGGATATATCAGGCCTTGGCAACCTATAACCCACGGGTCACCGAGTGACCCACTTGAGCTCCGAAAATAAAGTATAATATATAAAAATATATTACAAAACCTAAGTATGAAACGAACAGTTGAAGAATACAGTAAATGAATTACAACAAAAAATTGCACTCTTGTCAGAGGAATCCAGTCTTGGAGAAACATTAAAAATAAACAGAAAATAAATTATAACAATTACATTTTTGTTTGATTACAAAGTTGCAGTAACGAACATACATTTTATTTTTAAAAACTAAAAATTGTAACATAATTTCAGGGATAAATCGATAAGTTTAGCAATACCGATTCATAATTCCTCAAAACATGCATTTATTTGGATCCTATGATCACTCAGAATATCTTATTCTGCCCAAGTGTGGTCATTTGATACTAAAGTATACATTCTACTACATCTGAGCCCTCTAACTGTTAGATTTCTATCAAATAAAAAGTAAATGATGACATTAGATTTCTGTTTTTAGTCACAATTTCAGTTGAATTTTACTGGGTGATAGAAAATGAAGTATCTAAATGTTTAAGTTAAAAATGGGACTAAAAGTTTCATTATGTAAAATTAGTCTTATTTTTAAGGATTCATAAATATGGAATGGTAAAATTTGATTCAAAATAATTCTGAAGTATGACTTTTAATAATTAAACAAAATTTCCATGGTCACAAGAAATATTTAATACTGGAATTGAGCAGATTAGTAATGGCAGCTGCGAACTAACTGCTTCTACAGTCTATCGACAGTACTTAATTAGCGACTGAATTACTTAAGAATTCAAGTTATTCTAGTCTGTGTATTAGTTTGTGCTAGCCAAACCTATAATATCTATATGTACCTATATAAACCTATAATACCTATATATAACTTATATATTGTTTAGAAAGTGGTTTACGGCTTTCCATGTTTTCTAAGAAAAGTGAAAATTATTTTATTTTTTACAGAAATCTAAAAGAAATATTATTAAAATAATTTTTACGGTAAATAGTTTATTAGATAGTCTTATTTGAATTTGTACCTAAATTTTTATTTGATATTGCATTGCAAATCATTCCAGTTTTTTTCAGGTATATTTAATATCTTCTTATTTTACCTGAAATAAAACTTTTTTAAAATAAAGTAAATATTTGAATGATAAATTTTTAATGTGATATCCTAATATTGATATTAATAAGATTTATTTGAATAAATAAATTCGTGGTAAATGGGGAAAACAGAAAAAAAAAAAAAAAAAATTTGAACTTTTAAGTTTTATTTTATTTTTATTTTTTATTTTTTTCAAGCTTGATAAATTGTGAATTTAATTATTTGCGATTACTTTATTTTCTATATTGATTATTAGTTTTATATGTTCTCATTAGTGTTTTTCTTTCAGAAAGCAAAGACATTTTGAAAGAAAAGTGAGGTCACCTAAGCTACAAGAGTAAAAACAGTCAGCCTCTTTTTAAGTATGAGGTGCTCTTCGCAGAATAAGCATTTCCATCTCCAGGGTCTTCTGGGGTGGGACTACGAGAAAACAAGTGCCCCAATCCAAGGCTATGGAGTCTCACCCACAGACAGTCTGTGATAAGGAGGCAGCACTTTTGAGGCTCCCTTGTGCTTGACACAGGGACATCCCCACTTGTGATGGGCGTCTAGTCAGGTGGCATCACTTAGATCTGAACTAATGAAGTGTCTCTGAATTCCCTCCCGATTCTTTCTTATCACCCTTGCCTCGAAAACCCAATTTCCTGGGGATAGAAATGTTACCTAAAACTCTGAAGCAACTGGTGGTTTTTACTCAGTTGCTTAGGACAGTTTGAAGGCCTCAGTGAAATAATGGTATCCTTGGCCAGACATTAAGATTATTATTGTCATTATGTTTGTGGATATATTCAGATGTATTTTTTCTTTTCTTTCTTTTCACTCATATATGAGAAATAGCCATCACTTAAGTTAACTATCAATGTTATAAGTTAACTATCATCTATGATTGATTGTTTTATGAAAATAAATGCTGATGATGATGGTGCATTTTATAGTAGTTCCTTAAAGATTTTATATTTTATGTTTTTAATCAACATTTTTATTTTCTGTTGCTGATATTTTTGGGATGTAAAAGTGTAATATTTCTTACAAAATGTGAGAGTAAATGTGTTTTTTCCTGGAAGAGGAAAATTAGTTTTTCTCTTTTTTTTTTTTTTTTTTTTTAAGTACTCAACAAACAGCTAATATTTTTCATTTCTGTCACCATGATGTCTATTTCTCTCAAGATTTATATTTTCAAGTGAAATTTTTATTAATTTTACTTCTTTTTCCAAACGATTTAAACCATAGATTTTGAACTGAGATGCATGTTTGTAATACAGATAAAATACTAATCGTATCAAGATGTGTTTTGCCTACAGTTATTTGAAGTCTCTTGTAGGAAATACAAATTTTATGTTAAAATTTAATCATGCATAATTTTCTTTTTAAAAATACTACTTAATTTTTCATGCTAAATTGATAAAAATTGCATTTAATTTAGAAAGGATTGTAAACATTTACGATGCTAAAGTCTGGTATACACAGTACTTCATTTCACAAATGTTAATTGTAATTCTTGATTTATTACTTCGCCTAAATATGCTGCGTTTTATTTTCTTAATGTCCGTAAATGTCATATGTTGTCACAGGCCAAGTGTTATCTTTTTTTCATTTGTAACTGGGTCAGAGGCCAAAGTCCGGGGCCAAAGTTTCCGGAAACGGTTAAGACAGCAACATTTTTTGTCTGTGTTCTCAGTTATCTGTGTGATTGTTAATTTTTTAATCAATTGATCATTTAGTTTCATAGTAGTATATGCAGCGAGATAAAGGAGAGAAATTATTCATATGTTAACTAGTGGTGCAGTTTGTTGACGTTACTGAATTCTAGCAGGAGGGAGCATTGTCTCTTGTTAGGGAATGGAAGTTATGGTTTCTTGAAAGATGATATTTTTAATAACAATTGTTTGTATGTCACATTGTTTTATTACTTGCATATCTTTGTATGTGTTGGTAGCGTAATGTGGAACTGTTACAAATGTTTTCTGTGGATTCTAGATTAATGAGACTCATGAAGAATTTTATACACTGAAAAATACTCTAAGAAAAAGAATTATAAGAATACTAAAGTATTCAAACTATGGTGGCTTTGGTGCCGCCTTTTTCCGGTGATACAGTTGCAATGATTTCAGTTAAATAAAGTAAACCTTGTAGCTCCAAAGAGCTTTCTTACTCGAGACTCAGGCTATACAGTAAAGCAAAGTACTTTGTGAATAACATAACTGTGTTATCTTTTCTATTGGTAGTTTTCACTCAACGAAAATTTAGAATTTGTATTAGTAGACAGTTGCATGTTTTATAATAAGTATTTTAGTACAGTCTGATTAAAAATGGTATTACGTAACTTAGGAAATAAAGAATTTAAATTATATATATTTCCAACTATTGAATTCACATAGAAATATATTTAATCCTTTATTAATGTTACTTGATAATTCATTGTTACACATTTTCATCAATATAAGCCTACAGTATTGCACATTTTAAAATGTTGGCATATTCTCGAGATGTATTACTATTCCTAAAATTTTTTTCACCCTTAAAATTCCCTTGTTACTTATACAACCACCATTTAAATATTTATTCCTTTCAAAATGACTAATGACATCAATCATTTCTTCTAAATTTAGTAGAAATGCACATTCACTCATGTTGCAGATAATAAATAGAGGATGAATAATAACCTGGAGATTTTATATTTGAACTATTTACAATGAGCTTTAAAGGTAATATTGGTGAATAATAACTTTTGTAATAAAATGAGATCATTCCTTAGATGAAATGTTAAGATGTCTGAAATAATACGTTAATGTTGAAATATTAAATCTTTTTGTTATATAAATAAATATAATGCATTATCATTTATGAGATGGATGTTTTAACGTGTAATATATAACTTACTATTATACTTGATTGCTTAAGTAGTATTAAAGAATCTTAGCAATATGTACATTTTATAGTTTTTTGATAATCCACAGACACATGAGAACTAAAGCCCAAATTATATGCTTGTTAAATTGGAATTATTGAAACTGAAAAGTATGTGTAGGATAAGATTTATTTACTTGTCTGTACTTGTAGTGTTCAGTATATTTCTTCCAGATGTTCTAAAAATTCTGTAATTCATTCTGCAATAATGTATTTTGTTTTCCATATGATTTAATGTTTAAGTGTGTTAAATAAAGGTTTCTTTTTTATTTAGTTTTTTATCCTGTGTAATAAAAAAAAAGGTGTTTTTAATATCCATTAAGATGTTATTAAAAGTACTTTATATATTTAAAATATCAAAATACTTAGTGTCTTAATGACTTTTCTGATAAAATTGCACTACTTATGAAATTCAACACATATTTATTGTATGTTATACATTATGGACATTTTGTGTGTAGAAAACAGTATAAATATTATATGAATGTAAACATGACTTATTAGAATTTATTAATTGATTATTTGTGTAATGCTGCTTCTTTCTTCTTTTTCCAAATAATCCCGTGTGAGATAACGGTGTTTAGACTGGAAATTTTATTGGAAGGCTGAAACAATATAGCTATAAAAGATGGTGAACATTATGTAACAAAACATTTAGACATTGCTGAAGCTTTAACTGTAATAACTGTGAAAGGATATGTTTATCCTTACAACAAAATATACTTTAGAATTAAAATATTAGCCTGTGATGAATAAAGTTCCTTTTAAGCATGCCACTGATATTCATCTATGGGGAAATATTTATATAAAGGAACAAAAATATATTAAGGTCAGATCTTTTAATCTCGTGTTGGACTGATGTGATTCTTCATTTGTATTTACAAATTAACATTTTATGTAACATTTTTTTCATATTATTTTTATTATAAATTAAAGTCATAGGTTTAATACTATGCATCATTTATTGAAGTGGTGTATGAGCTGTGTTTGCATACTTGTAATTGCTGTGTTTCATATCATAAGCCATGCGTATGTTCTGCACATTATCCTAGATGTCTAATTATGTGTATATGACATCGAGATCAGCTAAAGTGCTGATTGGCTATAGCACGAGAACTCGGTGGCATTCTTGTTATGAGACACTTAGAAATCCACAGAAGTGAATTTTTGAAATAAAACAAAGTCTTGAACATATTGTTACCTTCCATTGTATGATCTAAAATTGTGGGTCTAGTGTACTTGATCGTAAATTTAGATTAAACGCATGTCTAAGTAGCAAGTAGAACTAAGAGTGTACAGCACTTGAAAAAAGTATGCAGTTTATATTGTTAAGATATACATGCATATATGTATATGTATATACATATATATATAAATATATAAATATATACAATATATGATATTTAAAAATGTGCCAGTCATATGAATTACATAGTGTGATAATCCTAAGAGAGTTGTGAATTGGATTGAAGAAAAATCCAGTATAACTAGCAGATTCAATTTTTGTGCCTCTAGGAAAGCTAATACTCTAGCAGAGTAATGTGATTCTGTTTGTTAGTTCTAGCAGTTGCTTCTTTTTGACAATAATCAGTTATTATATGTGTTATTAATTAAATGTTTCACAAAAGAATCTACTTAATATTTATTAATTGCTGTCTAAAGTTCAAAATCAAAGGCTATTTTATTTTAGTGATCTGAAGCCCTGTAATTACTAAATAAACCATAATGTTTAAGAGGCAGTTTTGGATCTTTATATTTACTGAATAATATCACTTCATAAATAGACTCCTTAGTTAGAAGAAAATATTTTTAAGTAATGAGTTCTTAATGCAGTTTAAACTTATGCAAGTAGTAATATGAAATAACCATACAGATTTTCTTTTGAAACAAAACTTCTACTGCCTGATTCTTAGAATCCATTTTGAATTTTAAGCAATGCAGTAATTTAAAGCTTTATTTTGAACTTTAAACTTTTATTTGGCCTAAGTGGTATCTTACATTTTAACTAGTTTATATGAAACGAAACTTTTCCTTCTGAAACTATGAGTAACTAGATGTGCTCCTGTATTCATTTTTTTCTGGTTTATAAAAATGGGATACTCTTTTAAGCTAGCAATTCCTTTAATTTTAGAAACGCGTTTCTGGAAATTAATTGATAGTGAATTGCTTAATAATGCAGCATTTTTCAATCTGCAAATTGACAGCATCAATCCAGCATTTTTGCACTTTGTTTTATGAACTCCTAATAAAACTAATTGAATGCTTGTGTACAATAAGATGTTAAAGTTATGTAGGAATTTTACTTTCTAACATCTGCTGTCAGCTTTGTTCTAATTAGAAAAAACTTATGCATTTTTACTGGCTTTGGCAAATAATACCTGCTATATGTTGGAAATATGCAAGTTGATGAAAGTTATTAACTGGCCACATTTTCTACCTATGACTGTGTTTGAAGCATAGCTTATAACTGCTAATGCTGTATCACCAAGTTTTCATTGCTGTATACTCCTGCATTGCTGTATTACCAAACTTCAGTGTACCAATGAATAAAATTACCTTTCTATTTTTGTGCTTTTCTTTAAAAGAAAACTTACCTATATTATTCAATTATATTACCATTACTCTTAACATATTCCCATCTTTAGTATAAGCGTATCAAAGCATATCATTAATATATCTGTTTAAAAAAAAGTTAAGTAATAACAACAGATGCAAAGTGAAAATTGTTCCATCATCCACTATTACTCTAAAGGGATAGAAATTGCGTGTAATAAATACAGTAGATGCTGCTTAATGTAATCGCAGTTATATTTTCATTTGGATATTGTTACCGATTTGGCGAAATTTCGCCTATTTGTACATGAAAACGTGGAAATACATCTCTTATTGTTATCAACAGTTCGGTTAATATAACCAAACTGTTATAGAATAAATAGTTTGAACATACTTGATACATATTCTAAAATCGCCAAATAAGATCAAAATCAAAGCAGCTGGTGCACCCGGTATGGCTACACCAGACGGCAAAATTTTTAGACTTTAGTGACAGACAAAAGCAGCAAAGTTAAGGTATGGTAAAAGTTTTATAATTTAGGTGATTCGCATGGCAGTAAAAATTAGGGGCGCCAAAATTTTTAAAATATAAGCGGGTGCTGGGCAGCAGAATTTAGATCGGCAAAAATTGCAGCGGGCAGCAAAATAGCGCCGGTCGTAGTCAAAATAGAATACAAAAATTGCCAAATAACAAAGAAATGTTGCCAAGGAGGATAAATCGCCATACAGCTTGGTTTCGATTTCATTAAACCATTTAAAACTAGACCAAAAAAAGTAACCTTAATTTTAAGCTGATTTTTGAATAGCTACGATTTTGAAGGCGATCAGAAACAAGTATTTTTCTCTTCAAAAACCAGGGAAGAAAACAGATAATTAATTCTTTTCCCTTGAAAAAATGGAATTCCTTGAAAACATTTTGCCACGAACTAAGGTTGCTTTTTTGCCCAATTAAAATTTTGCATTTACACGTCTTCTGACGGATTACATTTCAGACGGATACCTTCTGAATTTTATTGATATTTTTATATGCAATTAATTAAATTCCATTGCTATTTTGAAGGGAGGATTTTTCCTCATCATTTAATGATATCATTCGATTAGTGTTATCGAAATAGCCATGGACAAATGTGATCACATTAAGCAGTGCCTACTGTAATATATTTGAAAATAAATGAAGGAAAAAAGAACCAGTCTGTTGTATGCTAAAACTTTTTATTATTAATTATTGCGTTATATACCCGATGAGCTTATTATAGGATGTGTCCCTGATGAGCAATGCGCTCTCATGTAATGAAGGATAACCATGTGATTAAGGCTTAGTTTCTAAACTGTAAAATATTAGAGGCTGTATGGAATGCAGCCAGGATAGCAGAACAAGAAACAAATGATATTATTATAGACAGAACAATTAGAAAAATTTTACTAACGTTTAAACAAATACTTTAATTGGATGTTAGAGCTAACTTTATAAAATAAAATATGCCATTTCTTCCATCTAGAATTTTTATTATTTGCAAACAAATCTTCCCAAAAAATTCTTTGGAAAGAAATTTTATATTTCAACGAATTATACGTTAGTTTGGCGTGTCTACTTGAAGTAAACATAGCAGCTTAACATATAATTTATGATTTCTTATAGTATGTATTTTCATCTTTTGAAAATGAAAGGTTCTCCGTACTCATAGAAAATATTTTATCGCGTATGTGTGTGTGTGTGTGTGTGTGTGTGCGTGTGTGTGCGCGCATGTACATGTATGTGTTACATGTAGAGTATAAAATATAAAACAAAATATTAAACTTAATTCTAACCAATTCGCAATAGACCTTTAACCCTTAAATGCATGAATATTTATTTTTATTTTTAAAGTCAAAAATACATTAGGATTGATATGAAATAAAATAGGAAATACTAAAAACAAATCTAAATTAAGTTTTTATTCCAATTTTAGAAAGCATATTCCTAACTTTTACAAAAAAAAAAAAAAATATGATAGTTAAATGTGTAATAACAGCTTTATGTAATAATATATACCTTATAAACTTGTTGAAACAATTTTAAAACTTTGAATACATCGAAATAACAACAAACACAAAATCAAAAATTTGTAAACACAAATGATATCCACACCGGACACATCAACCCACAATAATGACTGTTACACCACACTCACTGAAACTTTCAAAACTATGTACGTAAACAGTATGTATCCAATTGGTTACACTATGCAGTAGGCTAAAATTTGTGTTTGGATTTGATTTACATGACTAAATATGAGTATGTCACCAAATGGCAACTACATTCATTTAAAGGTTAAATTCATAATTTTTAATCAAACACATTTCCTCTTCAAGGATATGTTTTGCACCATTCTGCGTCATTCTGCAGCATGTTACATCACTCACAAAATTGAAATTTCTCTTGAATTGATGCACGTCATAATCATTAAAGTTCAATTGAAGTTTAAAAAGGGAACACAAGATAAAGAGAATAAATAATTCAAATGAGAATTAAAAACATAAAATATCACATTTCTACTTACTCTTCCAACTTTACATGGCAATTTAATTAATTTAGAGTCATAATTACCTCCAGATAAGGACAATTAACTTTCTTGAGATCTCAGTAGTTTCAAAATTACCAATACAGCTTATTTTCAGAAATTACATGAACTTGACTACCGGTCTCAATAATAGCAGAAAAGTTATTGTTCCGTACCTTAACATTTAACTTGAAATACTGTCATTTTTTGAGTGAAGTTTGATTTTTATGGAATGGAGATCTATGATATTTGAAGGTAGGATACTGAGTATCTCATGATAGTGCCAACTCTTCAGACTGCATTTTGAGGCAAATAAATACTACATTAAAATGGTCTTGGAGTAGGATATTTTGGACAGTTAAAATAAAGACGAGGGTTTTTCCTAGGAACAGAAAACCTGTGCACATTACTGGTGTTTGGGGATCTTCATGTGAGCTTGAAGTTGAGAATAATCGTGCTAGCCTAAACCAATTCTTAACGGAAGTTGTGTTTTGGACAAATGTATGATGTTCGTTGGTAAACCTTGAGTGAGCGACTGTATTAGAATTTTGTCGATTTCAACTCAGACACTAATTTTAGTTTCTGTCTAAAATACTTGTCTGTGTATTTAAATTTACTATAAGTGACTAAGACAAAATTGTTAATGATCAGAACTAGAAAACTATGTTAGAAATTTATCTCTTAATAGACTTCAACTATCTATATCGAGACACTCGTAAATATAGAACGTTAATGCCTCTCCATTCCAAAACTTCGGAAATAAGACTAATTTTTCTTTTCAGAAATGTTTTTTTTTTTTTTTTTTTAACTTCAGCGTTTCTCAAAGTTCTTAACAGGCTTTTTTTCTCCAAGCCTTTTCTGCTTGAAGGGAGTAAATATGTAAAACATAAAAAACGTAACATTATTATTAATTTTAATTGGAACGAACTGGCAAAAGACCATAAAATTCCTAATTCTCATTCTTCAATTTCTCTGCACTGCGAAAACCGTGGCTGCTCTGGATTAAAGTAAAGACTTTCCGAACTTATAAATACGATTGCATTTATTACGTATCACCCTTTTCACCTGCTTACTCTATCAGGACTACTATTTCTCCTTATCTGCTTTGCTAACATGAAGTGTCTTGAGTAGACAGTGAGTTTTACTAAAAACTATGTCCTATGGATTATAGAAGAGATAACAAGATAAGAAGGGTTTAATTACCCTTTATTTTCCACACTTTACTAGTGCTCACGCACTTCAGGATACAAAGACCAAACACTTGTCGGAACGTAAGAAAATAAGAACTACTAGCTAACTAAATTCAAATAAGAGCTAGCTTCAAATACTTTACACAGATGAATAACACTAAGGTTGACCTTTCAGATTATTACGTATGTAGAACGCAGACTGCGGAAAACTACAATATGTCTTCGATATCAAGAGGACTAAACCTCTGGCCTTAAAGGTGGACAGCAACTGACTGAAAGCACGCTTGAAATAAAGTGGTAAGAAGGCTCACTCTCACTCCATCTATATCTTCTTGGCAAAAAGCCAATTTAATAGAAGCTTAGCCAGCACAATTGCTAAACAGATTAAGCGTTTATCTGGTGGAATTGGAAAATAAGAGAGAACAAAGTTTTAAAGTAAAATAGCGTAGTAAAACTCAAGATCCTCATACCTCTGCCCGATGAATAACACTAAGGTTGCCTTTCAGATTATTAGTAGGTAGAAACGACTGCGGAAATACAACGTCTTCGATATCAAGAGGACTAACTCTGGCCTTAAAGGTGGACAGCAACTGATTGAAGCACGCTTGAAATAAGTGGCAAGAGGCTCACTCTACTCCATCATATCTTCTTGGCGAAAAGCCCAACTTAATACTTAAGCTTTAGCAAGCACAATTTGCATAAAAAGATTAATGCGTTTATTCTGGCCGGAATTGGAAAATAAGAGAGAACAGTAAAGTTTTAAAGTAAAATAAGCGTTAGTAAAACTCAAGATCCTTATACCTCTGCCAAGGAAAGTCACTTTTCTTCGTTAAGCTCCTCTTTCTACTATCTAAAATGTAACTGTGTATGTAAAAATTGTGAGGTGCGTTTAGTATCCTTAATGCTGTACCAATTTAAGCAAAAAACTTATCTCTGAAGAATTTTTTCTCTTCGAAATAAAAATGATGTTTTAAAGATCAAGCTAATTGTGATTTTCGCTCAATTTAGATTTACGCAGCACTTCGTCTAGGCCATATCTGTAAAGTTATTGGTTTGATATTCTCCAGTCAGCTGTTTTCTAAGTTCTATAATGTACTTCGACTGTGAACCTGTAAAACATGACAGAGCATATTATATATATATATTATATAAGATTATTTTGGACTTCAGTGTTTTTTCACATAAAGTTACAACTGGATTCATATTCCAAAGAATCGTCATTACACAATTTTTAAAGCTACTTAGAATAAAAGAATGGTAACGACAGAACATTACAAGAA